ATTGTCCGCGCTTGGGTGGTGTTTTTTTTTTTTGACTACCTATGAGAAAAGCTACGGTATTTAGTTCTCACATGGGTGTTCTCCAGTACATGGTTGTTATCTAAACGAGTTTTTATTTTACGACCGCCGTGTTCAGTAGAGGCTACAGTTGCAATTGGATTTTATGTTTGAAGAAAACGATACAAACTTGCTTCCAATACACGAAATTCAAATTATATTAAATATATACAGGCGAATAAACTATTACTCATTAGTCACTATCCGATACCCTGTCTTCAATTTCATTTGGTGTGGATAAAAATGGTTCATTATTTAATACATACAATATTTTTTAATTAATTAACAACCCGTGAACACTATATATATATATATATATATATATATATAAACAGATTTATGATGTAGGTACCAATTAAACAGAATATTTTTATTAAAAAAACTTGTTTAAAGTAAAAAAAAAAAAGGAATTTTGTTTTCGTTAGCAATTATTATTATAATACAGGTAGCCATTATTAACGGTTAAGTTTTTAGAAATAAAGAAAGACGTGCACGTATTATTTACAACGTCACGTATGAATATCAATAATTATATTTATAAGATGACACATTATACTGATTTACTACTCGTATAAATCAATTAAGATAAAACTTTTGATTTCTACAAGTAATAAATATTTCCGGAGAGTATATTTCATTTAATAGTAATAATCATGGGCTATAATTTATATTTTCTACCCACGATATCCGCGCATGCACTCGGCGATACACAATGTTGTAGTTGAACAAGACGAAAAAGCAACCAAGGTAATAGTGCCATTATTATTATTTTTTTACTCCCAATTTACAAATATAAACCATTCTATGACTCGTGTATCTTTCATGCGATCCTAATGACAGATATAATTAATGCGGTTCGTTTCGTGGATGAACAATTTGTTAAAAGATCTAAGATCTAATTTTTAGAAATTTGATTCTGCGCCGATAAGAGTATTTATAACAGTAAAAGAAGAAAAAAATTAAAAGCTAATACTGTGTAACGTAGATGAACAAATATCAGCGTATATTCCATTAAAGAGTTTGTACAATAACTGTCCAGGGGTCCGTCGGCGATAAAAAAGAGAAAAAAAAGTTTAATCGATAGAAATGCGCAGTCAATTGAATATACATACATATTCAATAAACGTTATTGAACACTTAACCGCAAGAATATATAAAACTGTCTAATAAACTATTGTACTTACGCTCGCACATCCCCTCGCTATATAATATTATACAACATCAACAATTGAAAAGATAAACGGCCACATTTTGCATCTTATACAGTGGTATAATAATATCACCCCTCGGGCGATGGCAATAACAACCACAAAATAACTTCATTCGTATGAATAGATGTCATGATAGTTTCATATTGCAGTAATAATTGTCGATTTTTTTAAAATCCCGTGAGGGAGGGGGATGGGAGATATAAATTATCCGTATTCATTTAGTGTTTATATTTTCTATAGTTATTTTTCAATGAACATATCAACGTAAATATACGTTCAAAAAAAAAAATAAATAAAAATATTCACATGTTGAAATATTCGCATTGAGGAAATAGTAAATTATTTTTATATTATTTATAAAATATTTACGGAAAAATAAAAAAAATACCATGTGTGCGGTATAACTTTTTCATTTCATTGTATGAATATTATTTTTTTAAATATATACCATAACTTTAATTCATCTCGTACGTTATGAATTATGATCATATACAAATAACACGTAATATATATATATATTGATAATTCATTTGAATAAAATATTATTCTCATACTTCTGTTAAATATCATAATATAATAATACTGCATTACTATATTATTGTATTGGAATTTCTTTAAGAGTCAACAATTGTTGTTAAACTGTCATTATTTTTCTAAAAATCTAAAAATGCCTTAGCAATGCGACGTTAAACGGTATTTAAAATATATTATATTAAATATATTTAATTGATGTAATTACTCGTAATAATACACGTTTGGTACAATCAACTATGAATAAATTAAAAATATTGATAAATGTTCTGTAAAATATGAATTATTACTCCAGATTTATGTATTCATAGATTATTATTCTCGTGTATGTATTGTGGAAATTAAGTTTTGTTTTATTATTAAAATTATTTATTTATTAAAGCTCTTAAATTATGTAATACCAGATTACAATTATGTCTGTTTGAATACACAAATATATATTTTTTTTGTCACTTTAAATAAAAATCAGTCTAATAGTCATTATTTAAACGTCAAAAAAAAAAAAACTCGTTAATCTTTGTTACACACATTTTCTCTCTGTTTATTAATAACAGCAGTATATCAAGTACCTACTGATAACATTTTAATCCGTTCTTTAATTCAATGGGATTTTTTCCCCATTGGATTCGTGCCATATTGTTGTCGTTTTTTTTTATTATTCCGCTCACGCATATACGCGTATATTTAAAGCTCGAATCACTATCGCTTCCGTTATTAAAATACGTACAACTCGATTTTTTTTCCGTCGCATACACGAGGGCGGTTTTTATACATGCAAGGGTAAAAAAACGTTATCAGTCGTTGTGTCGAATTGTGTAAACCCGTTTAAAAAAGATGTGTTCCAGTTTCCTGGATTGCTGCCGCCGCCGCCGCCTATCGGTCCACTTCCTGTACACCCACCAGCATCCCTTCAACCCGTCCTGGCACTTAATATCCTATTTTCGAATAATAAATATCCCGAAAATATATACACTCGGGAAAAGATAGGGATAGGGAGGATAGGGAGGGAATCCGCAACCCGATCGCTCTCCGGTCAGTTTCTGAAACTCCTCGAATGATTAATGGCGCGCACAGTGCGGTGGAATCCAAATTTTCAGCTCTTCTCCGTACAAAGGGATCGAACAACGGGTTACGCAGCAAATTTGACGGCCAATGAATCAGGCGCGCCTCGCCGAGTGCTCGTTTATAGCTGGAAACCGTCCAAAGACGCATGTACCGCCCTCCCGAGTGTATATTTTGGTCTTTAATTTTTTGGACCGTTTTGTTGCACGTTGACATGTTTACTGTTGAAGAGCGACGCACCGCACGATCAATGGTTGTATACTATATTTATATATATATATAGTGCTTATAAACGTCGCCTTAAAGTCTCATTAGTATCCGGACCATTAAACGCTGTCACGGTTTCACCGCGTTCGACCTCACGATTAAGTTCGCATTCGGATCACGGTTTCATACACCTATTACACAACGCTTAAGTTTTTTATTTAATTGTTGTAGATATTATTATATAAATTATTATGCACAGACAAAGTTCGTTGTCTTTAATAATACAATGTTAAACTGGCCATACACCTTCGGTTGGTGTAACATGGTACATACCTCGAACTTGTACGTACGTTTGGATCATATTGATTACACCCGCGATATTATTCGTCGAAATCGATTATTATAAATATATGTAAATCTAATCCTCGTCTTACGCGACGGTGGCGGTCAAATCGTGCCCATATACGAGTTTATTGAACACGTTTCGGCACCAATTGTTTTTATTTTTTTTTTTTTTGCCTTCCCTAAACCTCGTTTACAACCTGCTATGAGTACGGTGCGGTATATGCTCACGTATCTAATAACGTTCGATGTTGATTCATTTCGATCGACCCGTTAGTCTGGTCGCACGTGGGGTGTCGGATTATGCATACAATACGACACTATCGCTCCGCGGTGCCGCGTCGTATCACGAAGTTCGCAACAAGGTTAATTGGAGAAAACGTGTCGACTCTTTGTGCTCGTACGCATTCTGCGGGTAAAATTTTACCTTTGTCGCGTCCAAGTGCTCGAGCGAATGTCACCGCGTGTCCCCATTGTCAACAGATCGTGTCCGCCGTACGTCAATTATGTTTGGATACGTATGCGGACGTACCGTGTACACAAGACCGGGACCGCAACGAGTTCAATATACGTGATATGCAAAACGCCGGTCTGTCCACCGAACGGCTCGTCCTCGGGCCTTTCACTTCATCCTCCAGCCGTTCGATCATAATAAGTCGTCCGGACGGCCTGATGGGATTTGACGATTGTCATCTGCACAGTAATATATTTAATAGAATGTAACTAGAACCACTAAAGCAATTCTGGGCCTGGGGATTTGGGGGTGGGGCTGATTTTCGAAACGTGTTGGAAAAATATTAAAAAAATACTACAATGCATTGGTTTATGATGGTTAAAAGTTAAGCTAGAAAAAAAATAATAATTTCACGTGTAGTTCGTACAGAACTCTTGTTAATTTCTTGACGTAGAAAACGATGATAAGTTATGTCCGCAAGAATGTTTTACACTACGAAATAAGTCTACGTTAATTTTTTCAAGTATAATATTCTATACGATAACTCTGATTCGTTTTTCAGATTTGAAGTCCATGCATAATAAAATGTCTTCATCATTTGCCGTTTTGTGTACATTTTATACTTTGATTTTTAACGAAACGAAAAAAAGATTTTATAATCAATAAATATGTTGTCACTGAATGGTTAGGTGGTGATGTATTGGTGATTTCGAATAGAACGGTAAAACAGTTCTTTTTATTCGGTGTTCAAGCGTGATTCACACTGACCCACCACTCGCAGACCGGTACCGGAGACCGCACAGAAAGCAAGGATGCACCTACACGGTTTATTGAGAAAATAGAACGCCGATAATTCGAATCGATTCAGAAACCAAAAGCACGTGTGCCTTTCATTTTTTTTTTTTTTTTTTAAATATAGTACGCACAACAGTAGTCCAGCAGTATGTCTCCGCACTCGCACCACTGGACCGACACGACAATGTTATCAAGTGCGCGCGCGCGAACTGGTTTTGAACTGTGGACTACATGTAATTAAGCAGTAACCTGAGTATGTTTTCAGTTCATGGAGCACAGACGTTTCGTCCCGCGCTGTAGGTACAACCCTAATAAGGGTTATCCTTTAGGTTTGGGGTGCCCGCGCTGCACGGTCGCTTGACGTCGTAATGAAATGGTTCACATCACGTCGATTCTGCGGTTGGTTTGTGATCGAACGATCGACTGTTTTCAAAAAAAAAAAAAAAAGTTAAACAGGTACGAAGACTATATGCTTCCGAGACGTCGAGTTCGGTACATGAACTGCGCAACGATAGCTTTAGCGTTTTCGTTGTTCTTACATTCACATTATATAATTATTACACGAGTTTGTGCGCTGACTGTAGTTTATAATATTCATTATAATTGTACCGAGCCGTTACTTCGTGTGCGTATTTCCATATTTGTTAATCGAGTCTCGGTTTGTACCGAGAAGACGACATGTTTATTATTTCTGCGTCGGGTGTATCGTATACGAACATCATATAAAAACGAATAGCATAAATCATATTTTTAAACGCGGTACCGACCGTTGGAATATCATCGTGTACAGGTCCGCTTGCTGACAATATTGTAACGTTGTCTAGTGGGCGCACGCGGAATATTAAATAAAACCTGAACGTGTGTACGTCATACTCGACGCGTGTAAAGTTCGAGGAATACCGTGGTGTAGAAATGTTTTATTTTACGGCACATTAGGTGTACGGGCCGGGAACAATTAGTTTGGCGGTTATTTCTTTATCATATCATTAATAGATGTGCAAGCGGATAGGAGGAGATAACCGGATATACGTTTGTAATAAAACGCAATGACTAATGGGATAATAAAAAAATAAAACGACGCCCGAGCGCACAGACAACCGAATCGTTTTGTACGAGAAAAAAAAACAAACAAAATATGTAGATTAACGACATTATAACGATGACTTATTGCGCTGCGACGACCGCGCGCATTGTTTGCTCAAGAACTCGGATACATGCGAACATGCGATTACATAAGTACCAACGGTTAGTTACTGAGTGAGTACCCACCTTGTAACCCTCATGTATAATATAGTCAGGTGCGCACGAGCAAAAGTATCTTGGGGAGGATTTTAAGGGTATCGAGAGCAACGATGACTACAATGATTAATGAATAACGAATAACGATGGATAATGTAGTTGAGTCACTTTTACCTATCTAATATATTTTACTCGGGCAGGAACAATAGTTGAAATATAGGGTGCGAAATATAAATATAAATTTTCTTATAACTCGCAGAGGCGGGCCCGGATTAATACCATCGTAAGCTCTAGGCCCTAGTCCCCCTAGGCTCAAGGCACAGTTCTTTTAGTGCTAGTACGGCCCTGCAGTGTCTAGTATTTAAATGAAACCTTTTCTTTGGCAGAGGAAATGTTGAATCTCATTATTAAGCTTTTGAAAACAAAAATATTTACAATGTTAGATTGAAATCTTAACTTTTATTTTTTTATATGATAAAAATTTTAACTAATAAACCTTAAAACAATTAATTCTATTATAAGGTCACACCCACATATGATCGTAGGCCTTAGGCATAATGCCTATGATATTTATGCACTAATACGGCCCCGAGGAAGGGAGGTAAATCTCTAAAATCTCCTCTTGCGCTGGCTTCTACATCACATTATTTTATGTGCAAGTGTTGTACCGCAAAGGAAATTATGTCTGCACACGTCAGTAAGCTTAAATCGCGCGATTACATTCCTCGAGTATTCCGCCTTAAATATTTTGCCATGGCGCGCGTGTAGCTCTAATTGGATGAAATATCTTTTGTGAAATAAACCGTTTCGTAACGTTAAATAATAATTACGTATTTATAAGTTTTTTACTCACCCATGTCCATTCAACATTACAGCAAGTACATATGTGATATAAATGTATCCGTTAACAGCCAGTATTAGTTTTTTTCTGCGCTCTGAATTTCTGACCTATTTATAAAACTAACAAAAATAGTACGAATTTTTTTTCGTTAATTACACATTTCTATACTTACATCATTACGGCATTGTCGTTATTTATTGGGTTCATTAACTAATGCCGTGAACATACGTCTCGTGAGGATAAAAATAGAGCAAAGAGACACTTGATAACATATTGATTACAATATAGACATACCACAAAACTATTTGCGCCTTGAACCGAACAGAGAATCGAAATAATAAATAATATTAAATTTAAAATTTATTATTTTGATTTTGAACTTTGCATTTTCTGAAATTGAAAAAATATTTTTAAAAATTTAGAATCCCGGGCTATGAATAATGCGTTTATAATGTACAGATTTTATCGGAATAAACTGCTTACTTAATCACCTAACCGGACATTCACCATGAGTTCAGGCCGATCCACTTTGACAACTATTTGCAGTGACATCAGGATATGTCTCGCTCAAACACCGACGGAACAGAATCATCGTCTTGGTACCCTATATTAGTCGCATCTTACATAAATAAAGTTTCTAAAACAACTCATATCATCCTCTTTTGATTAACTCATGACCGTGTATACTTTTAACTAATAGTTCAAAACTTGAATATCCATATTTATACTGCATTAGGTATAATGGTAGATTAGATTAAGTTAGATTATTAATGCACTTGTTTAATGTGCACATAAATGTAATGAAGGTTACGTACTTGATAAATAAATTTAACGAACGGTATGGAATATTATACGTCGAAGATTTTCGAAAGTTCTTATCGTCAATAAAATAATGAGTTTTGGCAATTTTTATTTTTATTTTTATGGCGATGACAATGTGGCAAAGCGATTTTAATTAATCTCGAATCCACGGGGTAATAATTCCAACGTCAACGTAGGTCGTTAAAAATGTGAAATATTACTGTACCAAAACTGATGTAATTATGTATTTCGTTTTTTACCGTTTTGGTGTACGTTACGATTATTATATACACGTGCCGCCGATTACGCACGGCGTTATTTATTTAACAATAACGGTGCAGGGGTGGCGCGGGATAACGGATTACTTGATAAGCTCGCGATATTCTATTACTGTACCATAAATCTGTCAAGCGGATTTTTTCCCGACCGCTCGATGTCGATGATAAATAATATATTTCGTTAGCATATATTATAGAATGTATGTATTTAAATTGTTTACCATGATTGCTGTTTAAAATGTACGAAAAATCGGTGAAAATCCACAAAAATACGTGTGCCAACAGAATAATAAGATTTATTTGTTTATTACAGGTTCATACGAATGGGCCCAATACTCTGCGACCGCGGAGGAAGCAGAAAATCAACAGTTAAGGTAATAGTTTCAACGAAACAACTGAAAATCCACAGAATAAGAAATTGCCACATCCGCATGTGTTGTCTTTGGTTAAAAAACCTACAACATGGCAAATTCGGGTTCAGTACTTCAGATTTTGTGTTGTTAGCTTTAATATTAGAGCGAAGAGACTTATCATCAACGCATAATATTATTCTTGTTGTGCATGAAACACTGGTTACCCGGATTTGAAAACGTGCGAAAACTCGTATCAGTCTCGTTTTGGACTGCGGCAGAAAAAGAGTTCTGCGTAGTGTAGGTAAATTATGATATTATCATTGTTATTATTGTTTAGTAAGTGGCGCCCACACGTTTAAGGAGTCGTGGAACGGGCAACGGTGACGGCGGAGTAGTACACGCGGTAATAACGATAATTTAATATGGATAATATTGTAAGACGACAAAACCGTGCGGACGGCGTCCTGCTGGGTTAGACCCGGTGCCTAATGAATTGTATGCGTGTGCGTATGTGCATGTGCGTGTGTTATGTGCGTGTGTGCGCGTGCGTGTGTGTGTGTGTATTTGTGTTTGTATTTGGTTGTCTGGTCCAGTACGATTCGTTTGTCGCGACTATCTCTCTCGTGGGTCTGGGGAGCGTACGTCATAATAATATGATAATTCTCGTATTATATAATTATCATTTTACATCGTGTCGTCTCCCGTATGCACCTCGTCGCAGCTGTTGTTGACCATGCGGAGGAATACATAACCCCATGTGTGTTTGGAAATTAAATTATAACGTATCGATAACCGGCCGGGCCGCCGACGACAGAGTTTATCGTAGTCAAACTTACCGTCGAACGTACGGCAAGAATTTCCAGGCTCATATGTTACTTGGATTCACCAGTAGCTACCATTCTTTATCCGCAAGAACATCGCACGAGGCGTCCGTTATAATGAACGTGCGATTTGCATTTCGAGTTGTACCGACGTTTTGTCTTATTTTCGGCACCTGAGATGTTCACGAATCTCTTACGTTTCATATTGATCCAGTTATCATTGTATTATTATGTAGAGTATTATTTAGCCGTTCTGTTACGATATAAATACATATTGTATTGATTACCTAGTGTTATTTATACGGAATTTTTGAATTTCGGTTAGGTCAGTAGTCAAGAAAATTCGTTAATTTTTCGAGTAAATTAATAATCGGTTAGCTGATTATCGTGAAGTTAATAATAAAATTTTAAAAACTATTGAAGCTCTTCACTAATCCAAACTTCACACCTAAATAGCTAGGTATAGCTTGTTGAGAATACACAAAATTTCCGTAAACTACTAATGGATTCGAAAACAAGATTTTCAAATAACCCCATAAAAAAAAATCCATTAGTGTTAAGTCGGACGACCTTGGTGGCCAAAGCACTGGATTATTGAAATGTGAAACAATTAATTTTTAGTTATAATTATTCAAAAACATAACTTGCTCTAACTTGGTCAATTTTTATTCAATTTTAATATATATATTTATGAACTGTTTTAAAAAATATGCTCAAGAAAATGGCTACCTATAATAAAAATTGAAAATTCTTAAATGCATAAAAAATTTTTTTTTGAATTTTTGAATTTTTTAAAAAAAAAATTGATTTTTATGCCATTCAATCAGAATTTCTATACTAAGTGTTGTAAAAAAACCGCGTTTAAATCATAGAGTAAGAATATAGAGTTTAAATATATTGATTTCCTGTAGAGATATTAAGGGTGATACGGAACTTATAGGACATACTGTATAATATGTAACATTATGTACAGTCGGACACTGCTAAGAAGTGTATTATAAATTTATATTTAAATGTGCGCGCGCGTGTGTGCGTATGTTCATGTGTGTACTTATTTTTTAACGTCTTCGACCGGCATTAAGCACATACGTTTTATGAACATCTGCCACTCTTCCGCCCTTGAACCGCGTCACATCACTAGCTTGTTTTTACGAAATTTTATTTTTTACGTTAACCGTTTTTCGACCGAGAATACATAAATCCTACGGTACTTGTCGACGTACTACCCATTGCTCGTGCCTGGTTTAAAGGGATAGAAAACGCGTCCCAGCAATATGCATTTAACCACTGACACAGTGCCGTGTGTTTTATTGTACAAACTTTAGAATAAATCGGTGCCATTTATTTAAACTTCCGTGTTTTCAACAGTTTATTGAAATGAAATCTTATGTGTTTATATTCATCGGGTTTCTTTTTTTTTTTTTTTTTTAGTAAAGAAAGATTTATTTTTATAAACAACTCCGAAGGGTACTGCAAAACGTCAGAGCTTAAGACCGATTTATCTTACTAAGGAGAGTAAGAACACACGCTCTAAATTGTATTAGCGTGCTATATTGTTTTTCAAATATAAGTAATTGTTTAGTAGAGCTCTCGTGCATTAGGAATTTACAACATTGAACCGTTAAGTATATTTTTTTTTTATTCCATATTTAAGCCCGAGTAGTTTATTCTTAACTTACGAGCAGTAGTAGGTACGTAGGTACACTGCACGAGCTGCATGAGTAACGATTATTCTTTCAAAAGATCTCCGTTACAACAACTGTAAATTGTTGGTTAATTAGAAATATCTTGTGTACATTTTATTAGTTGAACGTTTTTGAACTTATAGTTAGTTTTTTATATTCATCTTAATAGTTTTATTTCAAACACATTTTCATGTTTTAATATCAACTCTTCAATTATTAATGTTGGTTTTGACAATAAATATTTTCTACTATTTTCGTTTTAACTGATCACATGTTTTATACTTAAATAAAATTATTTACATATTATAACGTTGTAAAAGTGTTAAGTGCAGATGCATTTATTATTGCTCAATAATATTAAACAAATTGTACTGCAGTAGTGCAAAACGGAACGTAAACATTGTATGGGTAATTACATAAAAAGTTAAATAAAAATAACTCGAATGGCGTACATAAATTATACGAGCATTAAAATCGAACAATAATCACCTACCGGTCAGACTGTGGCGCAGAAGAAAAAAACAAAAATTATTAGACATTATTAATAGCGTTTCTTATCGAACTTGTCTGTTGTTTATAAAAAATATATAAATATTATACAAGACGTCTGTAACACATACTAATGTTTTGCCTGTCATGCCCGTAATGTTTAATTTTAATTTTCATAAAAAATGATAATTTTCCAGTGCCCACCTAACCTTATTATTGCAATATATTGCTGGGCGTTGTGCATAATATAATTTTATTGAACAAGACCGCAGCGCAGGAAATCGTTAATCCAGGTGTTGTGTTTCTTACGTACGTTTGTGCATTTCATTATGAACGCGAATGCAGCGCGACGACAATAACCACCACGGGACTCACGACTACGTGTTCGTCGACATTACATTTTATTTAACTGTACGCAACAGTGTATGTTTATGTTTAGCGCATGTATAAGCTGTACAAATGTAAACAAGACCGTTTAGTAGTCGTGTTTTGAACCGAACCGTATTCGACCGAAGTCGGGACACACGCCGAACGGTAATCGAAAACGTAAACCCCTACGGGTTGATATCCAGGGTAACGCGACAATGAGCATTTATACTGTTTACCGGTGTATCCACGTCGGTTTGGAATGCCCGAATCGGATTCGACGCCGAACCCGAAATGACACGACGAAAACCGTGTACAAATATTTCAGAACATTCTGAGATCAGCTTGAAAACAATATACAACCGTGCGCGGGTTAATACTGTAATGCAGGGGTGGGCAACTGGCGGTCCGCGAGCCTTTTTTATCTGGACCGTGCTATATTTTA